ATTCATCTGCTGATGGACACTTAGGTTGCTTCCAAGTCTTAGCTACTGTGAACAGTGCTACACAACAAACATGCAAGTGCAGATGTCTCTTTGATGTACTGATTTCCTTTCTTTTCAATATATATCCAGCAGGGGGATTGCCAGATCACTTGGTAGCTCTCTTTATAGTTGTTTGAGGAACCTCCACAAACTGTTCTCCATAGTGGTTGTACTAATTGACATTCCCATCAACAGTGTATGAGGATTCCCTTTTCTCCACATCCTCACCGGCATTTGTTATTGCCTGACTTTTGGATAAAAGCCATTTTACCTGGGGTGAGATGTTATCTCATTGTAATTTTGATTTGCATTTCTCTGATTATCAGTGATGTTGAGCACCTTTTTATATGCATGTTTGCCATTTGTGTATCTCCTTTTGAGAAATGTCTATTCAAATATTTTGTCCGTTTCTCAATTGGATTATTAGGTTTTTCTCTAGAGAGTTGTTTGAGGTCTTTATATATTTTGTTATTAATCCCTCACCAAATGGGTAGTTTGCAAATATTTTCTCCCATTATGTGGGTTGTCTCTTCACTTTGTTGATTATTTCCTTTGCTGTGTGGAAGCTTTTTGACTTGATGTGATCCCATGTATCCATTTTTGCCTTTGTTGCCTCTGCTCGTGGGGATGCTCAAGAAATTTTTGCCCAGACCACTGTCCTAGAGAGTTTCTCTGATGTTTTCTTACAGTAGTTTCATAGTTTTAGGTCTTAGATTTAATTTTTAATCTATTTTGATTTGATTTTTGTATATAGTGAGAGATAGGAGCAAATTTCATTCTTCTGCATATGGTTATCCAGTTTTCCCAGCACCATTTATTGAAGAGACTCTTTTCCCCAATGTATGTTCTTGGCACCTTTTTCGAAAATGAGTTCACTGGAGGTTTGTGGATTGTTTCTGGGTTCTCTGTTCTGTTCCATTGGTCTTTGTGTCTGTTTTTATGTCAGTACCATGCTGTTTTGGTTACTATAGCTCTGTAGAAGAATTCAAAGTAATGTAATGTGATTCCTCCAGTTTTGTTTTTTTTGATTGGTTCGTGATTTAGTCTTTCTACTTAAGAATATTTTACACACCACAATTACAGTGTTATACTATTCTGTGTTTTTCTGTGTGTTTACTATTACCAGTGAGTTTTGTACCTTCAGATGATTTCTTCTTCCTCATTAGCATCTTTTACTTTCGGATTGAAGAGCTCCCTTTAGCATTTCCTGTAGGACAAGTCTGGTGTTGATGAAATCCCTCAGCTTTTGTTAGTCTGAGAAGGTCTTTAGTTCTCCTTCATGCCTGAAGTATATTTTTCCCCTGGATGTACTATTTTAGGGTAAAGGCTTTGTTTTGTTTGTTTGTTTGTTTGTTTTTCTTTCCCCTTTAGCACTTTAAATGTGTCATGCCACACACTCTTTGCCTGTAAGATTTCCATGGAATAATCTGCTACCAGATGTATTGGAGCTCCATTGTATGTTGTTTCTTTTCTCTTGCTGCTTTTAGGGTCCTTTCTTCATCCTTGACCTTTGGGAGTTTGATTATTAAATGCTTTGAGGTAGTCTTCTTTGGGATAAATCTGCTTGGTGGTCTGTAACCTTCTTGTACTTGAATGTTGATATCTTTCTCTAGGTTTAGGAAGTTCTCTGTTATTATCCTTTCAAAGAAACTTTCTAGCACTGTCTCTTTCTCTACCTCCTCTTTAAGGCCAATAACTCTTAGATTTGCACTTTCGAGGCTATTTTCTAGATATTGTAGAAGTGCATCATTGTTTTCTATTCTTTTTTCTTTTGTCTCTTCTGACTCTGTATTTTCAAATAGCCTGTCTTCAAGCTTCCCAGTTCTTTCTTCTGCTTTATCAATTCTGCTGTTAAGAGACTCTGATGCATTTGTCAGCATGTCAGTTGCATTTTTCAACTCTAGAATTTCTGCTTGATTCTTTTTAACTATTTCAATCTCTTTGTTGAATTTATCTCATAGAACTCTGAATTCCTTCTCTATATTATCTTGAATTTCTTGGAGTTTCCTCAAAACAGCTTTTTTGAATTATCTGTCTGAGCTTGTGGTGAATGCTGCCAGACCTGGGACTTACCCTGCTCCCCTCTCATCCAGGGCAGGTCCAAAAATGCTATCCAAGAGCCTAGGCCTGTACTGGGGGACCCCAAGGGCCTACTTGGTGCTCTACCCCACTGTGGCTGATCTGGTGCCTAAGGTACAAGGCTAAGTTCCCTTTGCTTTTCCCTCTGCTTCTCTCAAACAGAAGGAATATTTCACTGTAGTCATCACAGCTGGGAATGTGCTGGGTCACACCTGAAGCCAGGACATCTCAGAGCCCAAGCCCTGCAGCGTACTCCCTGGGTAACACTGTTGGTTATTTAGGGCCCAAGGGGTCTTTAGTTAGCAGGGGATGAATCCTGCCAGGATTGAGTCCTTCCCTTCAAGTAAGTCAGTTCCCTTTTGGCCCAGGATGGGTGTAGAAATGTCATCTAAGCCTGGAATGGGGGCCTCATGACTGCCCAGTTCCCTATCTTACTGTGGCTGACCTGGTAACCAAGATGCAAAACAAAGTCCTCTTGACTATTCACTCTTCTCTTCTTAAGCAGAAAGAAGTGGTCACTTTTGTTGCTGCAAGCTGCGCAGCCCAGGGTTGGGGGAGGGACGGTGCCAGATTTACTATTCCCTTACTCATCCGAGCAGGTGTCTCCCTCGGTCACATGCCACCCTAGTCCATGGACTGTAAGCCCAGACTACCACTAGGAGTTGTCTAGGAGTTTCTGTCCTTGTCTCCTAGACTGCGTTTTGAGTTTACCTAGGACCCCAGAGCATTTCAGCCCATGGTAGAAAGGCTTGCCAAGAAACTCAAGTTCTAGCTGCTGAGATGGTGATTCTCTTCTGGCTAGGGCTGGTTTCAGTGCTCCCTCCTTGCATGGGCACTGTCTGAGCTCAGAACAGCTTTATTTCCTACTCAATGACAGGGCAGCAGTGAGTTCAATGTAAAGTCCCCCAGTCACTGCACTCTCCCAGCAACTTGCACAGATTCTTTCTCCGTGCTGCATATCTACTGCTGGGGGATGGGGGAGGGGTGGGGGATGGGAGAGGGCATCGGAGATTCAGAACGGTCTCTTCTGCCCTCCCCAAATCCTTTTTCAGGGATATGAAGTTAAAACCAGGTACTATGATTGCTCACCTGATTTTTGGTTCTCGTGATAGTGCTTTGCTGTGTGCAAATAGTGTGCGAAAATTTGGTGTTCTGGGATTGGTGCAGGGCAACAAGCAGTGTAGGCTTCTATTCCATCATCTTGGTCTGCTTCATATTTATTTTTAATCTACCTATTTTCAGTTCATGAGTTTCCAATCACTACATTTTTTATCTCATGTGGAACTTAGTCAATGTACAGATTTTTAAAAAGTCGGACACATCAGCAGGTTTGTTCAAATCTAGGACCATATGTTGCATCTGGCTATCTATTTCTTAAGTGTTGTTTAATCTAGAACAATCCCTTTTTTGGCAACACTGACTTAAAGAGATAAGACCAGGCATCTTACAGAAAACCCCCAACTTTTGGATTCTCTGGTTTCTTCCCTGTAGTATTGCTCAACATGTTGTTCTATCTCTTGTGTTTCCTGTGATGTGGAAGTTGAATCTAGATGTGATGGACTGGGGTTCAGCACCTTTGGTAAGAAAGCATTGTAGATGATGATAAGTGTCTTTGCATTGCCCTGCATTGGTGTAATGACAGCTCAGTTCCCCCACATGCAGTTATGTTTGTCTTCTTGCCAGTAGGAAGTAATCTGTATGTTGCTACATTGGTATCATATGAACATCCGGTTCCTCCTCAACAATTCTGCAGGTTTTGTAGTAGGACGAGCCACAGACAAAACCTCTTAGACACCAAGTTGTAGAAGGAAAGGCTTTATTCAGCTGGGAGCATCGGCAAGCTACTGCCTTAAAATCTGAGCTCCCCGAGTGCACAATTTCTGTCCCTTTTAAGGGCTCGTAACACTTAAGATTTCACATGAAAGCATCATGATTGATTTGAGCAAGCAGAGGGTACGTGACAGGGGCTGCATGCACTGGTGGTCAGAGAGTAACAGAACAGGGCAGGGAGTTTCACAGCGTTCTTCTATATAATATCTGGAATCTATGAATAACATCAGTTTCTAAGTTATGAGTTGATTTTTAACCACTGGGTTTAGGCCAGGCAGGCCCAGGCCTGGTTTTGGGCCTGGCGCCGGGCTGCCTGTCTTTGGTTTTACTTCCTTGTTTTTTCTTAAAACAGGTACTGAGTGTAAAACAATATAAAACAGTATGAGAGGGTCTCTCTCTTTCCTCAGTTTTAGCACTAAGCAATAATCCATGACTAAAATAATTACAGTAGGTATATGAAATTATATTTTCTAAATCTGTAATTGCTTTTACATGTGTTAGCTGGCATTTACTATGAAAGTAGAGATTTCCCTCACATAGTAGGACTCTCAAATTATAATAACTGAAATATCCTTTCTTTTAATTGCCAGTTTTCAAAGTAAGGAATTGTTTTAACAGCTGCCTCAGATGAGATGTTGGAAGAATTTAAGCGTTTTTGAAAAAATGCTATGGTCACTGCAAATATGATTTATTGATCATTTTCAATGTATCAGGAGTGTGTTAAAGGCTTTATATAACCTAATTCTTATGACAACACAATGAGATTTTAGAGAAGATAACGGAAACAGTGTGTGGTTAAATAATTTGATTTGATATGGTCACTCACATGGGAAGTTACAGAGCTGGGATGCAAACTCAAATTAATCTTAGTCCAAAAATCCATGCTTAATTCTTTTAGACAGTTTTTTTGCGTTTTATTTAAAAACCAAATTCTACTTGTAATGCTGTTTGGAATGTTTCCCAATTTATAAATACTAGTAATATAAATTATGCTTAATAATTCTTATAAGATCTCTTCCTCTTCCCTTATGTTTTTTTCATATTTTTAACAGTGTGAAGAAAACACAAACCTTCAGGATACTACCCGCTACCTCAAACTTCCCTTTTCCAAGGGCATTTTCCTTGGGAATAATAATCAAGCCATGAAGGCCACAAAGGAGTCTTTTTGTATTACATCCTTTCTCTGTTCCACAAAACTCACACAAAATGGTAATGTATAATATTTTATTTGAAAGCGCTAGTACCTAGTAATCATGTAAATTTTGGTAAGCATATTCAGTAAACACCAAAGTTATAGTTAAGAACTTTAGAAAAATTATGGATCCTTCTGTTTGTGATTTCGAATAAAATGGAAACAAATGTGACCCAGTGATCTGTTGAATGCATGTCATTTAAGAAGGACTTCAAAATTATCCCAGTATTGAAAAACAAGTACACAACTTTTCAAATAAACCCTCAACACCCAGCTGCTTTAAAAAAAAAAAAAAAAAAAAAAAGGACGAAAATACCAACACCTTAATCTCGTGTTTTATAGCTCCATAAACAGTGCTAATTGCAGGCTTTAGAATAAAGGCTGTTTTTTGTTTAATTAGATGCATATTGCTTTTCAGTTCTAGCATTACTTTTTATGTCAGTGATTGTTTAGCAAGTTATGATTAATAAAGCAAGCTCTTCTCCTTGGTAAATTGCTATGAAAACATGTTCTTTAATGAAGGAAGTAAATTAAACATTTTTGAGTTTTTTATGATTGCCATATAAGACTTCTGGCTAGCACCCTGAATGCTACATTAAATAAGTTATATTCATTATGTTGAGAAGAATCACTTTATAATGAGGTATTATGTCTCATAAAAACCTGTGCCTAAACATGTGTGCTGTTATTAGTTCTTTCTTAGTTCCTTCTTCTGTGTCAGAGAACAGCATTTGTAGAAGGAAACATTTCTTCTTTTAAATCATAGTCTCAGGAAAAAGCAAAATGTAACATCAAAATTTTGACCACTTTTGAAACACCTCTCAATTTCAACATGCATTGCTACTATATTTGTATAGGACACCAAGTTAAGATTTGTTATACCAGGCTTTATCAGCATTCAGTAGTTAATGATTTTATTTAAATAAAACTTCCATTGGTATAACTCAATAAATGATTATAAAGCATTTACGAAACCTCAGGTATTTTTTTTTTGAGGCCAGTTTACCCCCATAGAAATTATGAAGATAATAAAATCAACCTTTTATTGAGATCCTTAAACAGAAATATTTATTTATTCTATGTGGATTAGTTGTGTGTGGGTAGTAGAGTTTGCATTCATGTTTAACTGAATTTCCCCAATAGAATATTTTGGGTTGTATTACTTATCTATTGCAGTTGTAACAGCTACCACAAACTTACTGCCTTAAAACAATAAAGATTTATTATTATTGTAGTTCTGGAGGTCAAATATCCAAAATCAGTTCCACCGGGCTAAAATCAAAGTGTCAGCAGGGCTGCATTCCCTCTGGAATGGAGAGAATCCATTTTCTTACCCTTCCTAGCTTTAGAGGCCACCTGCATTCCTTGGCCTATAGCCCCTTCCTCTAGCTGCAAAGCCAGAAGCATAGCATCGTCACATCTCTCTGACTCTGACCATCTTACATCTTTTAAGGATTCTTATGATTATCTTGAGCTGGATAATCCAATATTTTAAGATCTTTAATCACATCTGTACAGTCTTCTTTTGCTGTGTGAGGGAAACATAGTCCCTCCTAATTCTTGGAACAGGTTCTTTTGAGGCCATTATTCTGCCTACCACACAGGTAAACCTAACAATAGATTCTCTTCCATCAAAATATTTGGTCCTACATACTGAATTTGTGCTAGTTGTAGCGTTTAGGATGTTAGACACAATTATGAAAATAAGGCAGAGAGAAACAAATCCTGAAAATTAGAAGTTGCTACTTTTTAAAAGTAGAGAACATTTTCAGGTAAATATGAGTAAAAAACAATTTATGAAATAATTATATTAAACATCTCACTATATGGAAAGTGGGATCGGAATTCCATGCAATGGTTGGCTCATTTTTGGAGATGGATAAGTGTTTCATTCATTATTAGTTTGGCTTTGATTAACCTTGTCAATGAGAAACAGCTCAAAAGGAGCCAGGAAATGAATGGCATGTTTCAAGAGTTGGGAAGGAGGAAGGAAGTTAGTTGGTCTTTCTGAAATTTACATGCTAAACACACATCTCTGTGTCGAAGTAATTTAGTTCCAAATTGGAATTAAATTGCTATGTATTCATTTTTCTTGACTTGGAAAATATACAAATCTTATTTCTACTACAATTCAGCATTTACTAAGTGATATGGTCTCTAAGAGCAGTTTCCTAGAGCAGATTTGCACTTCAGAATTCCCAAAGTGTGTCTGTCTGCACACGCTTTGTGTCGTCCAACATGGACAGTGTACCAAGGCCAAAGCACTATGCTGGGCATCTGTGACTGCCAGAACAGGTAGAGATTTTGTGGTTCAGAGGATTATTAGGGGTCATGGCATCCTCCTATTTTTATAGCTCTTGATAGGTTAGGTACATAATATACACCTAATAAATGCCTGTTGAATGGAATGTAGAAATTGGTATTTTCTGTGATAGGTTGTAGCTCCTAATTTGCAGCTAACATCCTCAGATGGCAAAAGCAAAAACCTAGGATACAGCAATTTTGCCTGAACTCTAAGTATTTTGCATACATGATTAATTACATCCAGATGTAATCATAGTCTGAGAAAAAAAGCAAAATGTAACATCAAAATTTTGACCACTTTTAAAACACCTCTCAATTTCAACATACATTGCTACTATATTTATATAGGACACCAAGTTAAGATTTGTTATACCAGGCTTTATCAGCATTCGGTGGTTAATGAATGGGCTTTTCCACGTGCTCCATCATGAGCAGTGTAGAGATTCATCAGCCCTCTTGCAGAGAAGATGGGCAGGCTCATCCTGACTCATTTTCTGGACCCCTGTAATCTATTTTCCAGCCCTACTTAAATGGGCACTAGTCCTCATTCTCCACTGCTGCCACTTTGTAGCCAGCATAGCCACCTCCTTCCTCCCCACACTCCTCACATTGAGCAGGGTCCTCATGGCCCCTCCAACTGCCTCACTTTAAAGGAAGGGAAAGAGAACACAAAGGAGGAGTGAGAGCTGGGATGGAGGTGGAGTGGGAAGTGAGGAGTGAATGGCAGGGGAAGTGCACGGGGGATTATGAAAGAGAAGATGCCAGGGAGGGGAGGCCTCCTGAAGTGAGATGCAGGAAGTAGGAAGTAGGTGGGAGGGAAGCAGCAAACTGGGGAGAACAATAGAGCTTTGCCTTTGTCACCCTGGGTCTCACTCTGTGGAAATATCTGATATGCCAAATATAACCAATCAGTTTTAAAAAGGTTTCAATCATACCCCAGGGTGTCTGAATTACATCTGAATAGTCAACATTTTCAGGGTTTTTGGTTATGAAAACCTCATAAATCTCTTTGTTTCAAAGTTGGTATTTTTAAAATCCCTTTATTTTTCTCATTCTAACTCCTCCTCCTCCTCTTACCCGTGTTTGTTGCAGATAAACATTCCTGTTTCGTACTGAATTCCTTACTATTAATAGTAAATCCTTTGTGAGGTTTTTCTCTTGAATCTGGCTTTGGTGGAGCTTGCTTCTCTTTCTCCTCGAGATTCTTAATGCTTTTTCTCACTTCTGTTCTCTATATTCTCTTTTTCTTTCTCATCTTACCTACTTCCTTGGTTTTGGGGGGTTTGGAGTTTTTGTTCCCTCATTCATCTTTCTGTTTCTTAGAAAATCCCTTTTGGGTTTCTGCTAAAACAAGTGATTTGAAGTGAATTTCCTGCTTCTCTGCCTGGAAATTCTGTCTTGGCTTCTCTCTCGGCCAGTCTAGTCTGGCAACTCCACCGAGCCCTGAGTCCAGCTCTACCAGGTCCCCCTGCCCTGTGCATGCTTGGCACACATGAACCTTCAGTTCTCACTGCATTTGTTGGCCTCCAGATGCCACATCTCCCTGCATGCTTTGTAGACTAATAACACATGAACACCATCTCCCAGAGCCTTTCTAACTTCTGCCCAAGAAAGATAAATTTATTCCCTCCCCAGGTGAAGAGGTTCTCAGGACCTGCTGAACTAAGGCCCGCATGTCTGTTTAGGAAAGGGTTAAAGGACTGGGCCGTGTGCTTACCTGGACTCTGGGGTGGAAGATGGCCCATGGGGTCCAGCAGCTGCTCTTCTCAGGTTGAGAGCTCCCTGGATGATCTGAGAAATCACTGGGCCTGTTATCATTCTTTTAGTCTGCAAGATTTTGGTCACGTTGCCAGGAAGACCTTTGTTGCTGGGTGGAGTTGGTTGCTAGGCAGAGTGCTATGTGCTGGGCACCCAAACAGGAATAAAGCAGGTTCCCAGCCCTCAAGAAACTCTCATCTTTCCAGGAAGAGGCAGAAAAATTAATCAACAAATATTTGTCACCTGCCTGCTCTGTTCTTGGTGCTGGGAATACAGCAGGGGCCAGGTTGGCATGGCTTTTTTCTCTTGGAGTTTACAGTCTAGGTGAGGCATAGACGAATACACTAACAACTGTAATGGTAAGGTAAGTGCTACTGTGATGTGGAAGCATGGAGAAGGGACAGTTAGCTCGAGATTTCAGGAAAGGCTTCCAAAATGAAGCAACATCCAACCTGAGGACTAAAAGAAGAGTAGGAGTTTGTAAGTCAAGAGCAGTGGGGAGGAAACAGAATACAGTGTAATAAATGCCATCCTGGAGAGGGCTAGTCATAGTTTGTGGGCGCCCGCAACTTGAGTGGCTAGGAGAAGGGAGCCACATGTGTTAAGAATTTTACTTTTACCAGCAGAACGCTTTCATTTGAGGACCTGTTCCCCATTAAGGCAATTAATCCTCCTTTTCTGTTTTGAAAGGTGATATGCTTGATCTTTTGAAATGGAGAACCCACCCAGACAAGATCACTGGCTGTCTCTCTAAATTAAAAGAAATCGATGGCTCAGAGATAGTAAAGGTATATAGTATTTCATTACTATTTTCCTTGCAGAGATTCATAGAATAAAGAACATTTGGAGGAAAAAGACAGTATCTTATTTACTCGTTTACTACTTCTTTATCTAACAGTTTCTGCAGGATACACTGGATACCTTATTTGGAATTTTAGATGAAAATTCCCAAAAATATGGGTCTAAAGTGTTTGATTCTTTGGTAAGTTCAAATTCCCTTAATTATATTTTAACTGTTTTGTATCTCAATCTTGACTTTCTTGAGGCTGGTTCAGAAACATGCACTTAATAATGTAAGAGTTCATTTTAAAAAGAAGCAAAAAAAAAAAGAAAAACCTTGATTTGCATTTGGTTTTATAAAGCTCAATTTTCTTTTTTTAGGTTCACATAATAAATTTGCTGCAAGATAGCAAATTTCATCATTTTAAACCTGTAATGGACACTTATATTGAGAGTCATTTTGCTGGGGCACTTGCATACAGGTAAGGCCCTGTATCTTGTAATTAGTTTAGAAGTGGTTCCTTTCAAGCTTTTCTCAGCAGAAGAGGCGATATAGGAAAATTTAAAAGGGAGTGTAGGAAGAAATGGAGCACTACTGAAGTGTCTCTTGAGATAGTCTCTTCCTGCTAACACACCCTTTTTCAATGGCTAGAACTTACTTTGATTAAAAAGGGAAAGAAAACCTCCTGAATTCTATTCCTGAGCCCTATAATATAAAGTCTTTCCTTCTTGTCTCTGTTTCACTGGATATTCTTTGGTCTAAAATGTCTGGCACTTTGGCTGTTAAGAGTCCCACTTCATCACTGTACTCCCTGATGATTATAAATGTTCATAAGAAAGAAATATGAATGGAAAACAACGTTTGCCTTCACACCTGCTGAAAGTCATTCATTCATTTATCTGTTAGGATTTACTGACTGCCAGCTGCTTGCCAGGCGCTGTACTTTATGCTGATGATGTGAAGACCTGGTCCCTGGCCTCAGGCAATGTAGTCATTGGGATCTACTCTTTGACAGGGGCTGCTATTTTAACTGCTCCTCCTTTTCTACTGGCTCAGGTGATGCTGAAAAGTTATGAATAATGTCATGCTTTAGCTAGTGCCTGCCTCTTCACAAGGTAGTTGATAATTGCCAGAGGCCACAGCTTCTCTCTTTTAGTTTGACAAGTAACACCTTCCCAGTCTGGCTCTGCTTAGATAGCCCGGGAGTGTACCCCATTGTCTGTCTCCCAGTCCAATATGGTGCTTGCTGTTCTCCCATATTTCTACCTTATACCTTAAGCACCTATGGGCATGCACATGCCTGACTGTTCCCTGAGATGAGTTTAAAAAGCATGAAATCAGGTTGATATCCTTCCCCCATCTATGTAATATATAAAGGTTAGTAGGTTATCAGATAAGCATTTGATCCTGTTTACTTGGATATTCCCAGCCATGACATGTTAAGATCAACATCTCCAACATCGAAATGAATGAAGGTAATTTTGTTAGACTAGACCATTCATCAGTGTGATTTTTTGCTGAGAGCGAAATGCAACCTCGCGAATAGTTTTGAAACATCGGCCCACTCAGCCTAACAATTTGGGCCCTAGTGTGAGGAGGTCACTGCTTCCAAGTTAAATTCTCTTTGGAAGCTAGAAAACAAGAGTATAATTTCTCACACTTCCGATTGGCCAGGAAAGCAGGATCTTAAAAAGACAAATAAGGCTTGTGGAATCCTTTCAGGCTGGAGGTGATAGAAACTCACTGGCATGTTATCTTAAAAAACAGCACTCCACCAACATCCACCTGCTGGTGCATCCAAGTATTCTCCCCTGGCCCAGAGAAACATGGCTGGGTAAACTGTTCCCTAGAAACCAAGGACTGGCTGGGCGCAGTGGTTCTTGCCTGTAATCCCAGCACTTTGGGAGGCCAAGGTGGGCAGATCATTTGAGGTCAGGGGTTCAAGACCAGCCTGGCCAACATGGTGAAACCTGGCCTCTACTAAAAATACAAAAATGAGCTGGGCATGGTGGTGCATACTTGAATCCTAGCTGCTTGGAGGCTGAGGCAGAAGAATTGCTTGAACCCATGAGGGAGGCAGAGGTTGCAGTGGGCCAAGCCGCTGCGTACCGGCCTGGGTGACAGAGCAAGACTCTGTCTCAAAAAAAGAAAAAAAAAGAAACCAAGAACTGACCGAAGTTCAAGGTGGTAAGACTATAATCTTGAGAGTTGTACGCTGTTGTTTGTACATTTTTTCAAAACGGGGAAAAAAAAAATACCTTGGCCTTTCTAGAAATTCTCCTAAGGCACATATTGACATAAGCCATGTTCTTCTCATGGGTCAGAAAATTGCCTTGATAAATCCATGAGGTGTGCGTAGCAGTGGGGAAGCATTGTCTCCATCCCTCTTCCCCACCCCGTTTTGCCTGCAGCCTAATGATGTTGCATCCAGCTGTTTACATGGTCACTGGAAAAGAAATCCCAGTGAGCAGTTTTACAGTATTGACCATGGCAGTCATACTGCCAGGCACTTGGGTGGCCAGAGTCCTTTTCTCCAATATTCGTGTTCACCCATTTGGAGGCATTACCAGAAACGCAGGACTATGGAATATGTCCAGATTGAGTGTTGTTTCTCTCTTAAACTTTGAAAAGGGGTGGCAGTGTTGATCTGCAGATTTAGTAAAATTATTGTACAGCAGATTGACAGGAAAATGTGAGAACTGTTGGGAAAAGAAGCCTCCTCATGATACAGTTAAGCGTTGGATTTGTTGGCATTTAATTGAGAATTAGACCAATTCTACATTCTGCACATTTCCCCCTGTATTTTAGAGATCTCATCAAAGTGCTCAAATGGTATGTGGACCGGATCACAGAAGCAGAGCGGCAAGAGCATATCCAGGAGGTGCTGAAGGTGATAACATGCTGTGGATAACAGATAGCAGAGTCTAACAACGCTGTTGCATGCTGATGCTTAAACTAATTGGTTCCTCTACACAGACAGTAATGGGTGATGATATATTACTGACATTCCAATTCAAGGATCTTAATCAGTTTGTGGCTGCTTGAGAGCTGATGAAATTTGAAGGGGGCTTTGCCAGGCTAGTCTACTGGAAACTGTTCGGGTTTGAATCTTTGTTCCTCTGGGCTGTAGAGCACTTGAAGTCTAAGATGAGCAGGAAAGGGAGTGTTTATGAGAGAAGACTATATAGGGGCAGTTAAGCTTAGAAGTTCCTGGCTCTTGCCGGGCGCGGTGGCTCAAGCCTGTAATCCCAGCACTTTGGGAGGCCGAGACGGGCGGATCATGAGGTCAGGAGATCGAGACCATCCTGGCTAACACGGTGAAACCCCATCTCTACTAAAAAATACAAAAAACTAGCCGGGCGAGGTGGCGGGCGCCTGTAGTCCCAGCTGCTCGGGAGGCTGAGGCCGGAGAATGGCGTGAACCCGGGAGGCAGAGCTTGCAGTGAGCTGAGATCCGGCGGCTGCACTCCAGGCTGGGCGACAGAGCCGGACTCCGTCTCAAAAAAAAAAGAAGTTCCTGGCTCTTGCTTCCACCAACCTGACAGAGACCATCGGAGAACCATTTATGTTAAATTTTAAGAGCAAATAGGGTGGCTTAGCAGGGATTATAATGAGGACACCTGAGGCTTTACTGGGTCTTATGGTCTCTGGGTGCTATATGCTCCCTTGTCTGTGGAGATACTAATCCCTTACTTGCAAACATGTTGAAAAAGAGTGCAAATTCTTAAAGGAACTGTCCAGTAACAGCCCTGGTAGTCTTCTGATTCCTGTTGTTGAGGACCATCCTATCCGGTGTCAGTAGATTTAAGTAGACAATGTATACATTTTATAAAACAAGCATTTTGTGAATTATACATTTGTAATTTTGGGCTGATTGAAGGTAAAATGCTAAGTGGCAAGAATACTACTTGTCAAAACAAAATTATTTTTTCAAAAACAGTTATCTTTTTGTTGACTAAATTTAAAAAACATCTGAGGGTCAAAAACACTTAGTGTTCATCATACTCCAGAATGATAAAGTGTTTGTTGTTTTTTATTTTTTTAGACGGAGTTTCGCTCTTGTTGCCCAGGCTGGAGTGCAATGGTGCATTCTCAACTCACCGCAACCTCTGCCTCCCAAGTTCAAGCAATTCTCCTGCCTCAGCCTCCCAAGTAGCTGGGATTACAGGCATGCACCACCATGCCTGGCCAGTTTTGTATTTTTGGTAGAGACGGAGTTTCTCCGTGTTGGTCAGGCTGGTCTCGAACTCCTGACCTCAGGTGATCCGCCCGCCTCAGCATCCCAAAGTGCTGGGATTACAGGCATGAGCCACCACGCCCAGCTAAAGTGTTTTTAAATTTTCTATACGTTTCTCTCACTAAGCGTCAGAGAAAAGTGGCTGTTCCCCATAAAAGTAAATACTATTCAAAAAAGCCTCACAAGGCCTTGGTGTTTACATGAATAATTTGAAAGTTTAATGCCATACCATAGTTTTTATGCCATGTCATTGTTAAATAAATACTCTTTGTCTCCTTTGAAGCTAACTTTTAAAAATTGTATTTTTAAGGCACAAGAATACATTTTTAAGTATATAGTTCAATCTCGAAGGCTGTTTTCCCTTGCCACTGGTGGGCAAAACGAAGAGGAATTCCGCTGCTGCATTCAGGAGCTTCTCATGTCAGTCCGTTTCTTTCTTTCACAAGAGAGCAAAGGGTCTGGAGCATTATCTCAGTCACAGGTAATTTCTTTTCATCTATGCTGAGTAGAAGAAAGCGATAAGTGCAGTTTATTTGTTTTTACACAGCAGTGTAATCAAATGTTTTCTCCATCGAAGTCAATAGCTCCAGTTTATATTTGTAGCTTAACCAACTTTATGAGTAGACTTTTAAAATTTCCCCACCTTCTGTGTACCAGCTGAGCAGAAGTGGGCTGCCCTTCCCTTCTCTCTCTGCATGGAGAGGCTATTGGTTTGCATCAGCTTCATTTCCAGTTACCAGAACACATACTGATGATTGGACATGCTGTCACCACCAGCCCTGGGGAAGGAATTTCGCTAGAGCCAATCTCTTGCAGTTCTTTTCCCCAAGCCTCTCACTGCATTTTAATCTGTCAACTTGAGAATCATTATATTGGATTCAGCTAAGCTGCATGTTGTTTTGTTTTATTGAACTTGACCCTAATCATCCTGGGAGTGATCTTATAAGACCAGTGCAGAGCTGCTGCTGCCAAACTCTATTACCGGAAATGGCCCCACATGTTTTTTTTTAAGAATGGGATCCATCTACTTCCCAAATAGCATGGCCTTGAATATGTTCCATGAGGTAATTCTGAATATTTTCCCTATACTTTCTTGATTCTTCTTGTATACTTTTAATTCTGATGACTTGGTTAAAAACCTGTCAGAAGGAGAAGCAGCCTCTTACCATGCCCTAGAGGTTAGAGAAACTTACAGTCATTGAGAACTGGGACATAAAAAGGGAGATTGGGAGACAAAATTAGATCCTTAACAGTGTTGTTATGATTTGGTACTATGTGAGGTTCAGAAAGCAAAACACCAGTAATGCACCAGCCCTCTGATAATGTGCTGTATTTTTTCTGAATGTTTAGAGGTCTATTCTTGTTCCTCTCTTCTTTATAGAGGTGGACTCTTCTTCCATCTGGGCAAGGATACAACTCAGGCTCTTTTAAGTGTCATTTTGGCCTTTGCAGTCAAGAATACAATCACTGCACTATGGGAACTTGCCAGAGACCTCAGTGTCAAGTTGCCCACTACTAGCTAAACCCTGATGACAGCACTTGATATTTAAGCAGGATAATCCAACAGGCTAACCGTGCATTCCTTTAGATCAGAGTTCTTAGAAGTTTACTATCTCTACAAAAGTAATTCAGAATTTGAGTTTTCACCCTGAGATTTTTTTTTTTACCCTTTATCAGTTACAGAGATGAAACTTGCCTCATTCACACCTGAAAAATATTTTCTTACTCTTAAGAGTAACCGTAAGGCATGGTTTCTTCTTAGGGATTCAGGAGACTTTTTTTTTTTTTACCTTTGTTGTACCACTGGATCCTGGAGGTCCCCCTAAGGTGGCTTGGGCCACGGGGGTACAGCAGAGTGGAGCAGCTCGCTTTCACCTCTTCAACACACTGACTCCCACTGCTCTTGATTCTCTGAGCTCTATCCCACAGCAAATTTTAGAAACAACTTTAGCACCTTCAAAGAATCATATTTGATATTTTTTGCTCTCAGCTTTTAATCAAGAGATAATATGTAAATGTGCCCGTAAAGTTTCTGAACATCTTTGTAAACTCTGCTGAAGTCATTCTCTGTTATTTTGTGCAAGTATCACTTAAGCTGTATATTTTGATGTGGTAATTTATGTTTAGTTTAGTTTGATGCTAAGAAAAAATCCATATAAAATGATAAAATGGTTAGTTTTCTTTATCAAGCAATGAGAACTTTGCCTCTTTGTATTTGGGGAAGACAAGAAATGCCACACACCTCTGCCCATACCAGGTTCCCTTTTGATCCCATGTACTCTCTGCAGAGGCAGTGCCACTAATTCAGTGGATCCGACGTGTTAGTTTTCTGTATAAGAAATGACCATAAGCTTAATGGCTTTAAACAGCACTCATTTATTAGCCCACGGTTCTATCGGTCAGAATTCCAGGCAGGCTTGGTTGGGTCCTTTCCTTAGGATCTCCTAAAGCCAAAATCAAAGTGTTGGCTTTCATGTGTTATCTAGAGGCCTGGAAATGAATTTACTTTCATGATCTTTTATGCTGTTGGCAGAAAATGTTTGTTTTCAGAAGACTAACGTCCCTGTTTCCTTGATGGCAGTCAGCCAGTGGGGGAAGGTGCTGTCAGCTGCCAGAGGCCACTTGCAGTCCTTGGCACATGGCTGCTCCATCCTCAAATCCGGCAACAGTATGTCAGATTCTCCTCATGCTTTGAATCTCTCTGACTACTTCTCCTGCTACCAGCCAGAGAAAACTGTTTTAGGGACTCATGTCATTGGATGAGACCCACCTGGACAAATCTCCATATTTGAAGGTCAACTGATGAGTAATCTTGATTACATCTGCAAAATCTCTTTTGCCATGTGACATTATGTAATCACAGGAACACCACCAGGGGACAGGGTCACCACCAGGGGACAGGGTCATGGGAGTCGTCTTAGAATCCTGCCTGCCACATTTACAGTCAAATAAAATTCGGCTCTGAATTGGTCCAAGCTTTACTATTAGGCTGCCTTAGAGGCAGAAACCTGGTTTCCTTGCTCCATTTTGCATTTTTTCCATGTGGGCTACAACTCAGGGCAAACGCTGTCTTCTAGAGGCCATCCCCACAGTCCTTTGGGTTGGCTTGATGGGAAGCTACCCCACAGATGTATCCGTCCTGGTCCTATTGGGTAGGTTTATTTAGTCCTCCTGTCCCAAATGCAACTTGCTGATGACACTGTTCTTGTTAGCCCTGTCCTGGAAGGACTAAGGACTAACCCAGCTAGTGCAACAGTGGTTCTTAGCTTTCCATTTCATGGACACACACCCCCTACCACAAGATCCCTAAAAGAAGAAGAATGTCAGAAGGAATATGAGCCCAAACTCTGCTAGACGATTCCCAATAGTTATCTTTCCCTGTGTGTCCTGGCTACCAGGAAGGTCAAAATTGAATTGTACTTTTATTTTTACTTGCAGTAAAAACAATCAGCTTGCCCTGGCATAGCTGTCTTCCTGCTGTCATCACAAGATCCTTGTTCCTTTATCCTTTTTAATCATCCTATTATATGTGTATCTTACACTGTAGGCACATTCAGATACCTTTTTGAAGTCAAGATGTATAAATAAATAAATAAATAATGGATAAATTAAGGGATACCTGAGGAAAATCAACTTAGTTGACTTTCAGTCATCAGAAAGCTGGGCTCATTTTATTTAACTTCATCGGTATGACTCAGCTCTCTGCAGGGTGACATGAAGGTTATATAAATACAGGCTCTAACAGAGAATACCAAGTTACTAACTTTAAATATATTCAAGTAAATCTATAATTTTTAAGAGCCAAGGGCCATCACTGTTGACTTATAGCACCTCAAGTATTTTGATGGCTCTGGCATCAAAAACAGATCTTGGCTCTTCTAGATATTTTTGCTACTGCTGTATAAATAAATAAATACTAAAATTCTTAAATTTGAGTTTGAGTCTGTGTTTGAATCATCAGCACATGTAGACGCGACCTACTTTCTGATGGAGCCAGATCTTATTGGTACGCCAACTAGCACTTGAATCTTAGCATATTAGAAACACGTGCCTTCCCTGACGAGGTACAGTTGAAGCTAGTCGACTCTTCTTCCATTGCCCTCCTTTTGTGGAATTTTAAAAGGCTGACTTTGTTTGTTTTGATGTATAATCCTAGCCGAATTTTTTAAGTATGCCCTTTGAGATTTGATGTGAGCATCTTTTTTCCCCATAAGAAATGATTATTGGGTTTTTTATTTACATAAAAATATTGTTCTTAGTCTGTACACACAGTTCTTGGTTTAAAATAGATCTTGAAGATCTTGTAATGATCTTTTTGTTTTACGAGAGATGAAACTAAAGCCTAAATGATGAAACTAAAGGGTGCTCAAATAACTTTCCAAAGTCACAGAGTTGATTGGAAGCAAAGCTAATACTATATATGACTTAGGTCTTCTGATGCCCTGGCCTGTGTTTTTTCTTAAATCAGAAATGGAGTGCTTTGGAGGAATTAACGTGTTTGGTTTCTTAAACATGAATGAGATTTAAGTGAGCTTTTCAGAAAGCTGCTTCCAAAAGGAATGAATATAAGTGACTACAATCCAGGTCTTGGTTGAGCGTTCTTTCTATTCAATCATGATGCACTTCACTTATTCTGTGAGGCTTTTGTCAATCTCTTTGCTAATGTCAGTGATTTTCCAAAATTTCCCAGTTTTTATTATGCTGCTCCTTTGTACATTTCAAAAACTGTCCTATTCTGCTGCACTTTTTAAAAATTTACCTTTTAGCTTTAGGTAACAGAAACATTTCATACTTGTATTCCTACCATTCAAAAACACTTGCCACGGTCCTTAAACTCACTGACGCTGTGCAGCATATTTCTCATGGCATATCTGGGAGTTCATTTAAATTTTTTCTTCTTTTTAAGGCTGTGTTTCTGAGCTCTTTCCCCGCCGTGTACTCAGAACTGTTGAAGCTCTTTGATGTCCGGGAAGTGGCTAACTTGGTCCAGGACACTCTGGGCAGTCTGCCGACCATCCTGCACGTGGATGATTCCCTGCAGGCCATCAAACTGCAGTGCATTGGCAAAACCGTGGAAAGCCAGCTTTATACCAACCCAGGTAGGGTGCTGAGTCTCTTGGAGGAAATTTTGCCTCTAAAAAGCCATTTTGTGCATTGTAGCCATTGGTCAGCAGATACAATTAAAAACAAAAAACTTAAAGGCACTTTCTCAAAACCATTGTTTATTTGGGTGGTAAATGTATTTAGTAGTCAAATACAAAAGTATGGCAATTAAAACTTTATTTCTGGAAATAATGAAAACTAATGATTAAATTATTGTTTTTTATGTTTGATGGGATTTAACACTTTCCTTCAGAGAGGCTTACAGGTACCTGATAGGATCCTTATTTGTCTCTTTTGTTTTTAAAAGGTTTTCATCAGTTTGCATTCTGAAGCTATATGAAACTTTGCATTATTGTTTTTTACTTTACCCCGAGAGCAAGTGGTCAGTTACTTAAATTGATTTTGTTGTAATAACTGTTAGTACGTTCCATGGCCTCTTGTTTTCTTCTGGTTTTTTTTCCCCGAAGAAATACCAGAGTGACTGCTAATCTCATTTTAAAGTTTATTTTAAGAAATTTAAATCAGCCTCCCAAGTAAAAAACTTATTAAAATAAATTCCATTAAGAATTATTTTCCCTGACAGGCATATTGGCTCACACCTGTAATCCCAGCACTTTGGAAGGCCAAGGCAGGCAGATCACTTGAGGTCAGGAGTTCAAGACCAGCCTGGCCAACATGGTGAAACCCCGTCTCTACCAAAAATACAAAAAAATTACCCAAGTGTGTTGGGAGGTGCCTGTAATCCCAGCTACTCGTGAGGCTGAGGCAGAAGAATTGCTTGAACCTGGGAGGCAGAGGTTGCAGTGAGCCGAGGTGGCGCCACTGTACTCCACCCTGGGCAACAGAGCAAGACCCTGTCTCAAAAAAGAAAAAAAGAATGATTTTCCCATATGAATGTGTATGTATGTATAATTTTTTGAAATAGTTTTATATATAGTAAACAATTTTTTACATATTTTCTTGTAAAATATTTTGTATATACATTTAAGAATAGATCATAATAATGGCAAATCATTAACAAATCTTAACATTACCATTTATTTGCTTTAGATTTTTTTTTTTTTTTTTTGAGACAGAGTCTCGTTCTGTTGCCCAGGCTGGAGGGCAGTGGTGCGATCTCAGCTCACTGAAACCTCTGCCTCCCAGGTTGAAGTGTTTGTCCTGCCTCAGCCTCCTGAGTAGCTGGGATTACAGGCGTGCACCACCACACCTGGCTAATTTTTGTATTTTTAGTAGAGATGGAGTTTCACCACATTGGTCAGGCTGGTCTCGAACTCCTGACTTTGTAATCTGCCCACCTTGGCCTCCCAAAGTGCTGGGATTACAGGCGTGAGCCACCGCACCTGGCCTTGCTTTAGATTTTTTATTAAGAATTCATCACAGATATACTCAAGGTCCTCCTGTCTAGGCTCCCACTTCCTTCATAGAAATTTCCACTATCAGAGATTATGGTTCCTATTTTCTATTCCTTTATTACATAGCTTTAAAAATATATTATATGATTTTTTCTTCTTTACAAATTTTTAAATCATTTCATCTTTAAATGATAACACTACATTGTATGTCACTCTTTGGAGTGCTTTTTTTGATTAACATTATATATTGTTTGTTTGTTTTTTTGAGACAGAGTCTTGCTCAACCACCCAGGCTAGAGTGCAGTGGCAGAATCTCGGCTCACTGCAACCACCGTCTCCCAGGTTCAGATGATTCTGCCGTCTCAGCCTCCTGAGTAGCTGGGATTACAGGCACCCACCATCTTGCCTGGCTAATTTTGTATTTTAGTAGAGATGGGGTTTCACCATGTTGGCCAGGCTGCTCTTGAACTCCTGACCTCAGCTGATCCACCCACCTCAGCCTCCCAAAGTGCTAGGATTACAGGCGTGAGCCACCGCACCCAGCCTAATATTATACTTTTATATTTTTCCATGCCACTAGATATAGCTCTACTTTGTTGTTTTTTACTGTTGTACAATATTCTACTGTATGAACATACCACAGTTAATTTATTTTTTCTCCTTTTGAAGGACTTTGGAGATGTTTCTAATTATTTTTTCTGAAATAGCACTTCAAACAATGTAAAAGAAAGTTCAACCTTCCAATTTCTCCCAATGAAAACATTTCCTGGAGAAAAGATACTTCTTGTAGTGGTTTTCTGACTCTGCTGCTCAGAGCCCTAAGGGTTCTGTACAGTGACTCGGGAATCTCTCCGGGGTTGGGAACAGGGACTGTACAGGGGATGTAGGTCCCGATGGAGCACCCTACTGTAACTCAAGCACCAACCCTGCTTTCACCACACTAAGAAAAGTTCTCTCCTGTCTCAGAGGAATTGCTAATTTCTGCCATATTTCTCCCACAATGACCAGATAATTCTTTGTTAAGTTAACGTCTTACACTAAGAAAGCAAGACAGTCATCAAAATTGTTTTCAAATGTAAGGAAAATATTATGAGGGGTTTGTGTTCATTGCCTCTGAGCAATGTAATCTGTCTTTGGACCCAGTTCCTTATTGGTTCCTGATGCTCTGTAGGCAATAGAGAAATCAGGACTTGAAAGATACACAGAGAAGAAGCTGCTGCGATGCAGGATAAAGAATGTTGGGTCCCGTGGGAATTGATGAGAACATGTACTATGGTAAGGGATGGAAGGACTCATGAGACCCAAGAAATGTTGACCCTGCAGGGTCTGTGTCAGTGCCCTGGAAGAGAGGCTCAGGGCCAGTGCGGGGAAGCTGGTAATTGTGGATATGGTGGCATGGAAGAGGAAGAGAAGAAGAGGAAACCCTGTCTGCTCATGTGTGGGAAGCTCGCCATGGAGGATGATTATGGAGAAGCAAAAGTGGCTCACGATCAACAGAATCCTTATCTCACGCAGATGTTGAACAGAGAAAAGGCTTCTGTCCCTGCTGCAACAGGATGTGGCTTGGCTTGGTGTTTCCTGACTCATTGAAGAGACTGTGATGTATAGATGGGCCAGGCAGAACACATCAAGAAGGAGCCCATCTTTATGGGGAAAACTACGAAGTGTCCCTGAGAGCCTTCCAGGGCTCAGAGTATCTTCTGTTTAAATCACATGGGACTACACAATACTGCTAGGGAAACGTGGAAAGTGTTTCTAGTGACTTTGGCATTCTAAGTCAGAAACTGTGGACTTGGGGGACTGATGGGCATATTTATGTTGTCTAGTTGAAAGAGGAGATGTGGGAAGGAAAAGAAGATGTGAAATGCAAACAGCAGGCTCCACAGACAGTGTCAGAGAACAGGACGTGATATCTTGGGTTGTGGTTAACTGGAGAGTGTGATCCTGACAAGGGCCTTGGTATATCTCACAAAAATAGGCTGATTCTGTCTGACTGGAGGGGAAAGAAGAGGGACAATATAAAACTGTATAACTAAAGAACTATAATAAAAGAGTGCCCAGTGGTCCACTCAAAATAAAAGGTAGAAGGGTTAAGCCTCACACTTCTGACCTTCCATTTAAAAAATTAACACACACATACACAATTTTTACAACACCTAAGGGTTCTTTGGGGGGATGGGGAACTTGGGATTGAATGCCCTAGGTTTTATCATGTTTCCCCAGAGATAACTGTATCCAAATAACAAGGAATGGGTTAAAAAAAATTATTTTATTATAAACACAAAACAATAGCATCACCAAAATGTGGAAATAGGACTCATTTTAGATATAGTTATGGTGTAGTCATTTCTCATTGCTGCTGTGACAATAATCACAAACTTAGTGGCTTAAAACAACACAAACTTGGCGAGACACAATGGGTCACGCCTATAATCCGAGCACTCTGGGAGGCCGAGGCAGGAGGATTACCTGAGGTTGGGAGTTCGTGACCAGCCTGACCAACGTGGAGAAACCCCGTCTCTACTAAAAATACAAAATTAGCCAGGCCTGGTGGCAAGTGCCTGTAATCCCAGCTACTCGGGAGGCTGAGGCAGGAGAATCGCTTGAACCCAGGAGGCAGAGGTTGCAGTGAGCTGAGATAGTGCCATTGCACTCTAGCCTGGGCAACAAGAGCAAAATTCCATCTCAAAAATAAATAAAATAAATAAATAAATAAATAACACAAACTTCTTATCCTACTGGTCCGTAGGGTGGAAGTCCAAGATTATTCACAATGGGCCGAAATTAAGATATTACCAGCATCTCTACAAAAAATAAACAAAAAATAGTTAGGTGTGGTGGTGCATACCTGTGGTGCCAGCTACTCAGCAGGCTGAGATGGGAGGATCATTTGAGTCCAGGGGGTTGAGAATATAGTGAGCCATGATCACACCACTGCGCTCCCGCTTGGCTGGCAGATAGAGACCCTGTCTCAAAAAAAGGGGGAAGCAAAGAGTACAGTTGGCTCACATTTTAAGAAAATGAATTTCAAAACCTTTTCAGACCTTAGATGTTACAAGCCCATGGAGACAACTAGAAAGTTCTAGAAGTTGACATTTTATTAGAATCCTGTATTAGTCAGATTTCTCCAGAGAAACAGAACCAATAGGGTATGTGTGTATATACGTGGAGGAAGGAAGGAAGGGAGGGAAGGAAGGAAAGAAAGGGAAGGGAGGAGGATGGAAGGAAGGAAAGGAGTCATAAGGAAATGGTTTACGTGATTATAGAGGCTGAGAAATCTGCAGTCAGTAAGCTGGAGACCCATAACAGCTGATGATATAGTTTCAGTCTGAGACCAAAGGCCTGAGAAGCAGGAGAGACAATGGTATAAGTTACAGTTCAAGTCCAAGTCCGAATGCAAGAGAAGACCATTGTCCTAGCTTGAAGATCATCAGGAAGAGAGAGCATATTCTCCATTACTCAGCCTTTTCTTCGATTCAGGCCTTCAACAGAGTGGACAAGGCTCACCATGTGGGGAGGACAGTTTGCTAAACTCTGTCCAGCAATTCCAGTATTATTCTCCTGCAGGAACTTCCTCACAGACACACCCAGAAAAATGTTTAACCAACTATCTGGGCACCCCATGGCCCAGACAAGTTGAT